AAAAGTATTTCACAGCAAATACATTATAATCCACTTCATATTTCAAATTAAAGTTCACATGACTATAATAGAGAAGTAAAACTGATATAAATTCAGCTGAAATCAAATTGTTCAATTATGTTCAATTATGGTGTCAATTTGTTTTTTTAACAATTTACAGTCCAATTTGTTTCTCATTAGTTTTTGTACAGTCAAATACAGATGACTACTTTGTTAGAGCTGATAACAAGTCATGTTTGCTAAGTAAGCTGAGCCTAAACTACTGAACCCTTGAGTTGATCTTAGACCATGATATATCATTAATGTGTCTGGAGAACTGGGTCAGACTCTCAGACACGCTTCTGAACTGGTTTAAATCCTACCTTAAGAACAGCTTTGTGTGATTAGGCAACTTTTTCATGATCTTGGCGCTAATGACTGGCCTGATTACTCATTTCATTCACCTTCCTAGCAATGCCCAGTTTCTCATTACAATTCATCTGATCCACCTACCCCAGTTTCTATTTAAGCTGCCTGTTTCCAGTAATCAGTGTCAGATTATTCAAGCCTTTGGTGAGAGTTTTCCAGCGTATCTGAGTGTTTCTGATTTACTGATTCTGTCCCTTTCATCCTCTAGACCTCTGAATCCGCCTGTTCCCGTTCTGATATGTTTGCCGGACCTGTCCTCGTACTCCTGTGGGATTCTACCTGTGTATTGAACCCGGAACTGATTACTGACTATATCCTGGATATTCCCCTGCGGTACCTCTTCAGACCTCTGATCTCCTGGTTCTGAATCCTGAGCACCTCCTTGATACCAGCTTTGGCTTTTCCTTTTGAATTATCCTGCCTTCCTTCATCTACTTGGATATGATCTGCTGCCTGTTTTTCAGTCTTTGGGACTTCAGCATCTGGGACTCTTTGGGCAGCGTCCGCCTAGTCTTGTTGGCAGCCGACAGGCTGGAACCAAACTTGTCCTCTGAGCATGGATTGAATTTTAAGACCAGGTTAGTGACTCACACTTCATTTTCATCCTCTGCCAGATAGACGTGGTCACTAACCTTTGTTCTCTCTGCAGAAGTTCCTGCCTTAGATGCTCTCGCTGTTCGCTGTAGATCCGTTTTCTTAATAAAAGTTTTTGAGAAATCTGTCTGTCGGCTTCGAAAACTGGGTCCTCTTGTTCTGAGCTCTGAATAACTTCCTTTAGAGCAGACAAGAGTCACAAATGGACCACCCCCAAAGTTCATCCCTGGGACACCTTCTATTTGATATTTACATTCCAGATTGTAATAAGTAATAAGATGCATTATCGTAGATATGCAGATGACACACAGCTGTATATCACTTTATTACCAGGTGATTCCAAACCTATCCATGTACTGAACAGATGCTAAGAAAAAAAACAATGCATGGATGTGACAAAACTTACTCTATCTGAACAGAAACAAAACTGAACAAAATTGCTAATGTGAAAACAGGATATAGAGAAACTCATCCATATTTTTCTCTTTAGTTGCATTCATCTTATCTTCACAGGCCTGCCAAAAAAAATTATCAGCTAATCCAAAATGGTACTGCTTGGGTTTTCACCAAGACTGGAAAAATAGAGCATATCACCCCAGTTTTAAAGTCATTTTACTGACTACCTGTTGCTCAGAGAATAAACTTTAAAATACTTCTATTGGTTTATAAATCACTGAACAATTTGGCAAATCAATACATTAATAATCTACTATCGTCATATCAACCTTTCAGAGCACTTAAGTCTTTTGGTCCAGTCCACTTTGTATCCCCAAAGCCTGAACCAAATATGGACAAACATCTATCAGTTTTTATGCACCTTTAATCTGGAACAAACTCTCAGAAAACTGCAGAACAATTTAAACACTAAATTCCTTTAAAGCAAGACTGAAGACCCACCTGTTTAGATCTGCCTTTAATTAGTAGTCCGCAAACAAATCCAGAAGAAAAGCTGCTTTGAAAACAAATATTTTATTACATATTGACAATCTCAATATGATTATCATATGTATCAGGTTGAGGGGTTTCATAATTTTGCGTGATGATTCTGATGTTTTGATGTGTGCTTGATTGATCTTTCTAATGATTTTAATTATTTTAATTTTAACTACACATTTGTTCTGCTGTTTTATGATGTAAAGCACTTTCAGCTAATTTCAATTTAAATGTGCTATGCACATATTTTTTTTTTTTTACAAATACTTGCATACTTAATTTCATACTTGACTTTGCAGCAATCCCTAATTTCAAGAAGCATGTAGTGATGGTGCAAATGAAGAACTCCCCTTTGAAATAAAGAAAGCTTCAACCAATGACCTAACCATTCAGAGAAGTGGTAGAACACACATTAGAAAAACTCACCAGCTCTGGGTTAGGAGTTCTTTCCGAAGGTAAGAAGGAGACACAGTTTAACACACAGTCTGAGCTAAGAATACTTTCTAAGGAAAAAGAATAAGTCTGTAAAACAAATGATAGAATGTACAGAAGAAAAGACAAAGCATAAAGTATATCAAAGCATGCATATTTCAGGAAAAACAAAACAGTTAGTTCATAGCACATTTTTTGTTTCTCATGTCTGCCGGCTTACTTTGTGTCAATTATCTTAACACTCATCTATTCAACCTGATGACCCTGCTTAACACATAGTTATTTCTTCATTAACATGCATCATCGTATCTGCTTCTTCACATATTTTGAATACAAATGTTTTTCATTCTTTTAAATTCCTATTTAAAAACATTCCAGAAAATGATATGTTAACTCAATGGTAATTCCTTATTCATGTTATCATTACTGAATTATTCAGTACAATACAGTCAAAATATATTGACAGTGATTGCCTATTTAAACAATTATTACTTCTAGGCCCGTATTTGTTCACTGGTAATTGTTCTTAATCTCATCACAATATAATAAATCAACAGTGAAACGTATGTTTACTTTGGCAACCTACATCTGTAACCAAATAGGAGATGAAACATTCCACCTAAGAGCCTTTTCATACCCTCCAGTACAGTGTAGCACAAGTAAATAAGTCCTCCCAACAACAAATGTCTCAGCTCTAAAATGGTCCCTGAAAAGCAACTTTTTCTCAGGACAAAAAAAAATGAATCCGCCCCCTAAGGTGTGTTCCCTGTCTTACCTTCTTTGCACAACTGCACTGAATCTCTCAATGCCTCTGTGTCTCATCACACAATGGAAACAGTGCATAGCCTCTGGCAGCTCTCTCCAGCTGAGAGCCACCTCTCTCCAGAGGACAGAAAAGGAAAACTGCCGGCACTAACAACTGATCCTGGCAGATAAAGGAGCAGATAGGAGAAGAGAGCGCCTTGGACAACACTTGCCCTTCCCTGGTCATCAGTGCTGTTTCCTTTAGTGTTTGTCATTCTTTTACAGCTGCTGGCTAAAAAAGAATCTCATTGAAAGTTTTTTTAATCTAATTTGATTCAGAGCTTTAAGTGTCATACAGCATACCACCTTTAAGTGTTAACATTTAGCTGGATCCATGTAAGTCATATTGATTAAGATTTCTCTTGACCTCCAATAAGAATATGGCTTGCTACAAACACTGGATTTTTGAGACATTTGCTGATGTGTTATAATGTAGCAGTGCTATTCCAGATGACCCAGCACCAGATCAGTGCATCATTCATTCTCCTTAGGGCAGCTGACTAGAAAAGTACTTAGGCAACACAGCCATCAAAGGTCGCAGAGGGCACAGCTGGAAAAGCCCTGGGTCAAAGCCCAAACCTAGTCTGATTAACTGTACATCAGCTGCATGGTAAGATCATATACAGAAATAGTTCCACATCGGAAGTTTTGCCTAACTCTTCTTTATCCAATTCTTCTTCTTCAGCAATGCAGTGTGTGTGGTCTATAAGAGCCTAACACCTGGTATTTGTCCTGAAGAAGACCTTGATGGGGAATGGGGTCTGAGTGAGGGTGCTTATTTTATTATCTTCTACTCTGCTGCAGGCTATAGCTGTATTAATGCAATGGCAGGGATCTTTGAAGTTGTGACTTTATGAGACAAAAGCTAATTTCCTTTCCTTTGTTCATTATCGAGAGAGACTTCCAGCCAGGCGGAAAAGCATGCCGTGCTAATTATTTCATTCATGAGTTGTACTCAAAGTATGTAATGGATTTCGCTGGGCTTTTTACAGGTAGGCAGGCTGATATGATGCACGGGTTTGTTAACTTACACTGCTAGAGCTGTGCTTCTCAGACTGTTGCAGAAGTGCTATTTTGGCTCCATTTGGTGCTATTTTGAACATATTTTGCGATATTTATTTACATGATACATATGAATGAGCTAATTATCCAACTAACAGGTTAAGTGGAGAAAGTTGCAAGAATTCGCTGTGTAAACTGATAAATGGACACAGTTAGAATTCATTGCATTTCTACAAAAAAATTTAGGATCTACTTATATAGGCTTGAGAAAAAGAAAAACATTTCAAACTTCAGTTGTATGAAACAGTGAAAACATATGTATTTTATCAAGATTAAACTTTATTGTCAACAGGCCTAAATTAAGAGTTGATGCATTGCTACTCTTTCTGTTCCTCTACATATATATATATGCCCTGATTACTTTTAAGACCATGAGAACTTTGAAACTCATTTCAAAAAGGAGTTTTAGAGTTTGCAGGGCCAAGTTAGGCATTTGACATAATGGGATTTCCATCTGCCCCTAAAACACAACTTGGCAGAACATGAAGGCAAATGCAGCATTTCACATTACATCTTCGCCTTGCGCAAGGATGCCGCCCACAACACCTGAGTGCTCCTAATCAGGAAGATGTGTGCATCTTGTCATGGATGTGGGTTTGGTTCCTTGTGAGACAGAGTTGGTTCACAGACACACACATGCACACCCAAAAAGAGTGCAGCTATGATGCAAGTAAAGCAATATACCTCCTCCAATTTTGTCTGACACCCCTCCCCTTTCTCCTCTCCCTTGCTTTGTTTGTGCTCATTTCATTCCATGTGCAGCCTCCTGGCAGGCAGGTCAAGGTTTACCCGCGCACCACACACCATTTCCCTCACATGCCGCCTAGGGGAGGAACACCAGAAGCCTGAGGCAAGGGCAAGCCCAAACAGCTTGCTAAACATTGCCGCCATCACCACCTCAAACCTTTCTGATGGAAGGACAGAAATTCACAGCTGAAAATCTCAAGTTGGATCTTTATCTTCCTCCTTTCCCTTCTTTCCTTTGTTCCAGTGGTTATTGCTTTCATTCTTTTTTTTCTATCCCCTTTTATCTAACTCAAGATTATTGATTTCCATCAGTAGTAAGGTATATGTCTATTAACCGGCAGATTTAATAGAGCGACAATAGAAAAAGTACTCATTTGTTCCCTCTATAATGTTAGTGTTCATTTTGAGAGTCTGATACAAACCTTGGCTAGAAGCTAGTGCAGGATTTTTAGCTGTAAATGGAAAACGCCTGTGGGCTTTTCATTTTCTGGGCCCAGACGTTCCCTTCATGGTGTCGGAGCCCTTGTGTTCACAGAGTTCATGTTTCGCTCCAGGCTTTTTTTTTTATTTTGTTTTATCTCATAGCTTAGACTAGCAGGGCTTTAACTCCCAGAGGACTCCTGCGTAGCAACAGCAGAGATCAACAAAGTAAGTTTGTTTATGTTGGCTGTGTCCGCATGTTGTCGACTTATACATTTCTCAGTCTCCATTTCCTGCCTCTCCTTGCCCCAGGGGAAAGGAGCCCTCTAATTGGATCTTGTTCTAATTGAGCCTAATACTGGAGCTAACCGGAGTTGGGCCCTGTGGCTAATGAAGAGCTGAATCAAAACTAAGCACTAAAACTTTGACTGTGTGTGTATGTATGCTGGATACAGGCATTTTTTTCCACATTCCATCAGAAATTCATTATTATTCGGTTTAGTTTAAGAGGCTTTCTTTTTTTATATCATTGCTGATATATGTTCTGTAATGTCAGAGTTAGAACAAATGCAAGCAGGGTTATGACAGACTTAGTGACACTGGTCTTGAGGTAAGGTGTTTTTTTTATCATTTATGGCACCAATGTTGTGTTCAGATACACATTATTTTATTGGTTTAGTTGCAGTCTCAAATGAATGTATGTGCTATCCTCCTAGGCCATTGCAATCCTATCCATTATTTTCAGGATTAGTTTGCATTAAGAATCCTAAAAAGTGGGGTTTTCTATGCCTCTTGTAAAAACAGTAATCAATGATACTTTAAAAAATGATTAAATTTAACTCTGGTTTTACAACTGCAATTCAGATGAATTTAAAATGATGGAAGCCGATCTGTGTTCATAAAGGAGCAAGTTTCATCATATTTTGTAGGCAGTAAAACCAACAATTATCAAGAAATCACAACTGGGCAATTTTCATTGTGTTGCAAAGCAGTAAAGCAATAACATAAAAATAAACTTTGAAGCCATGCTCCACAAAAATTACATAATCTCATATAGCTGATCTGTATTAAAGCAGGAAAAAAAGAAAGAAAAAAAATAGCTTCCTAGTCAAGTTTCTTGACTAGGCTCAGAGGAGGGAGCTAGTTTAAAGTTCTGTAGTTTTCCAGATACCATGTCTTGTTTCTGCCTCTCAACTACTGAGCTTGCCTGTTTCCATCTCAACGTTTCTGCCTGAACTTGCTGTTGAACTCATGGCACCCTGAACCTGCCTGAGCGCTCTGTGGATTCCTAGAAAACTTGATGTGTCTGTTCCAGCTCTAAACAGAAACCCCTGGCCAGGTTATTGAATCCTGGATCTCAGAACCATATTTTTCTGGACTGTTTTTCTGACCTGGCTCTGACTTCTGCCTGTTCACGGAGGCTGCATTGGGGACACTCTGAGTGGCTCCGCGCTACATCTTGTTGGCAGTCCATCGGCTGGATCTTGCCTCACCGGTGAGGATGGACTGAACTGTTAAACCAGGTAAGTGACTCACATGGATAATCATCTTCCGTCAGATTATCATGGTCATTTAACTGCGTTTGTTCCTAACTAGAGTGCCAGTGATGGGTGGTGCCCTGCATCCGCTGAAGATCCACATTCCCGCTTATCTCCATTCTGTTGTTAATAAACATTTCGAATTTTACCACTGCATGTCTCGCCTGATTAGTGGGTCATACATTCTGAGTTTATTACACTTTCTGATAGTAATGAATTACAATAGGCTCTGGTCCAAAGACTAACATTTTTTTTGTCTGCATTCAGAAGCAGAAAGTTAATAGTCCTTCAGATTTTTATGTCTTCAAGACATGCTTGTAGTCTTTGTGATAGGATAGTTTCATTTGGATTTATAGACAGATATAGCTTTATATCATCAGCATAACAGTGTAAATTAATCCACCAGTTTGGAGCATATATTCAATACAGAGAATTGGTCCTAGCACTGATCCCTGTGGTAATCCACAAGCATCAAGAGGATTTATCATTACCGTGAACAGACTGAAATCTGTCAGATAAATAATATTTAAACCAGCAAAGCACTGTTCAATTCAATTCTTTCTAAAAGAGTATTATGATCAACCTGGATTCCATTTCTGTATTGCTTAAGCAATACATAAACTGAACACTGAGATTTAACAGAACAAGGACAGATACAAGTCCATTATCTGAGGCCATGAGAGGATTATTAGTGACTTTCACCAGAGCTGTTTTAGTGCTATAATGAGCTCTAAAACAAGATTGAAATTCTTAAAAAAATTCATTATGGTGTGAGTGGTCACAAACTTGTTCGGCAACTACCTTCTCAAGAATCCTAAATAAGAAAGGAAGATTACATATAAAATAATTCATATTAAAGATAAAGAGGACGGTCTTTTATTTCTGGGGGGATAATCTAAATAAGTGGTCCTCCTAATTGTCAATCATACTGGTAATATGTTTATGTAAGGCCATCCTCAGTGCTCGTCCCCAGTAATCTTTTTCTGCACATGCGCACTTTCAGGCATATATGTGTTGTGAGCTACAGTTTCAGACAGTCATTGAAGCTCACATTTCTCACTGTGGTTCTTTGAAAATTGCCGAGGGCAGTGAGAGAAAAAGTTTCTACAAAGTGTATGAACAGTAAACAAAGGCCTCAGAAGAGGCAGGTATATCCCAAAATGCTTTACGCTGAGAGCTCACCTCGCAAAGCATTATGGGATTTTTGCTCTCACAGTGGCCTCCTGTCGCTATAGGCTGTTGCTACCCGACAGCAGCAAATAATAACAAAGGTGGTGCAGGCACTGCATGCAGGAGGGGTTACTTGTAGCCTGACGTAGTCCGACTCAATTCTAGTCAGAATATGAGTCTGATACTGCTCCATAGAGCTGTGATTATGGGGCGTGTTTTGAAAGAACCAGGAAAAAAATGCCTCTGTACTCAATTGGATAGACCTACAACCAATAAGAGCAACGGAGTGCGTGACGTATCTTAAGCGAGGCATAGTTGTTGTCCACAAAAATCAAAGCGTGCAGTTTCACGCCTAGAATAAGAAGATGAGCCTTGATCGCGTTTCTCTGTTCCTTTTTTTAAAATTAATTTGCTGTCGATATCTTCTAGAACAGACCTAATAGCAGAATCTACTCACCCAAACTCTCCAGCGGCAGCCATTATTGTTGTCACCCAAGCGCGCTTTGGTCACGTGGTTGATAACGTTACTCTTGATCATCTGTCCATCATCGTATAAAGCCCGCCCTGACAATTTGATTGGATCGCCTGACAGTGGGCTTTAATACTCGCGCTACTATGGAGCAGAGCCAGACCGAACTTCCCCGAACTCAAACCTTGTGGGCGGGACTAAGTTCGGACTGGCACCCAGGCTAGGTTACTTGACCAATGGGAAGCAAAAAGTAGTCATCTGTCCAAACGGTAAGTTAACTGAGTTTGCTATAAAGTCCAGTATATAGTCCCCGCTCTATATATTAAATGAGGTAACTTGAAACTCGCTATTCCTGACATTTTGAACTGAAAAAGCTTCCTGGATGGGAAGCAAAATGTCTTCAAACTTGTAAACAAAGTCCAGTGGATTGTTTTTTTTATTTTCTTTTTTTGGAATTACAATGCCCTGGATGACTGAGAATCTTCACCAGCAATCCTAATAATAAAGAGATTATCAAGGTTCTCTTCTCTGTTTAATTTTATTTTTAGTTTCTTTGTTATTCTGTGTCTTTGTAGTTGTTTTCTGTCAGTTTGGTATTTCTTTAGTTACTCTCTGTTCCCCCTTGTGCCTGTTCCTTTCCCACTGGCTCCCTCCTACTTAGTCCTATTCACACCTGCTCCATATCAGCTCATTAGCCCATCCTTTGTTCTGTTCCCCATATATACACCACCTCTGCTGTTCCTGTTTGCCAGTTTCTTGTTGTTTTGTTGATACCATGTCTGTTGCTGCCCATGTGTATTTTCTGTGACCTTAGTGCATTTTTTCTTGGTTTTCACTATTTTTGCATTTTGTTCTGGATTTTTGCCTCTGTTGCCTGTTAGGCAACCAGCAAAACTCATCTCTGCCAATTCATCTCTTTATTCAGGTCTTCAAAGCCTCCACCCAAGCTGACAGATTAATTTCAAGGCTTTATGAACTTTCGTAGGGGTACCAGTGGACATTAACTGTGTGTTAAGTTTTAAAGAAAGTAGCACCATTATTAAAACATTTTAAAGTCAACATAAAAGACAGTAACCATCACCAGAACAAAGCAGTAAATCAAGAAAATAAAGATAATTGCTTATAGACACTTTTAAAATGCATGTGTGGACAATCCCACTACTTTGCCAGGGGGTGTTAGATCATTGGGATGTATGTATGTGGAGGTCAGATGTATCAATTTTGCTCACTGAGGTTTTATGTGTGGGCAGCAAACCTGTTCTTGTTCTCAGGGCATGAAATATGGCTGTTTTACCAAAGCCTTTGGCATCTCTTCCAGAAACACAAGGTGTTCTTTAAAGGCAGTTACTTGTGCATAAGGCAATGTCAAATGCCAGGAGTAATTTCTGGTTAAATATTGATATATCAAAAAGTAGCAGGAACTTTAACAGATAACAGAGCAGAGATGACAGTGTCAAGGCAATAAAACTGGGCTAGTTAAAAAAGCTAGGTTTGTTAAAAGATGTTAGTGTTTTTTAAAACACAGCTTTAAAACACATATTCAGTCCCCTGTTAGTTGTATTAAAACAGGCTTTTTGGTTTGTTAAAAGAAGCTTTTAATGCAACCTTTTGCATTGATTTGAAAAGATTCAGACATGGAGTGAAATTAAGCTTTGTTTGGACTAGTGAAAATGCAGACAAGCATTATATTGACAAGGAGTTGAAACAGGATACATTAAATTTAACTTGACTGACACTCTTTTAATTTTCTGGTGATTCCAGAAATAAATTACAGATTGCAAGATACAGTGCTGACAGGGGATTGTTGGCCTAGTGGGTCCCCACAGCCTCCCCTCGGGGTTTCTGAGCAAGACCCTTAACCCCACCCTGCTCCCCGGGGGCTGCACAATGGCAGCCCACTGCTTCCCAAGGGGATGGGTTAAATGCAGAGAGTTCATTTGTTGCTCTGTACTGGAGACGGTAGAGACGTTCCACTTTTGCCTACAACTAAACAAGACACAGAGTTATGCATAGATATGTTTTCGTATTCCTATAAATCATTTATTGTGCATTAAAATTGGGCATAGCTGGTAAATTATGTCAATGTCTTATAGTTTTATTAACTAATGTGCACAAATGCTTTTTTATCCAATTTAATATCTAAATTTCATGAATATAAAAAAATTATAAGGCAAGATCAATAGTAAAAAATAACACCCGACTCTGTATTATCTGACATTATTTTAAAAAGATGTTGTGAGAGATGGAAATTAGTAGCTATTGTAAATATTTGGATAAAAAACAACCTTGCATAAAAAAAAGAAAATCCTCCATTATACCTTAATCAATTATGGTTCTGAATAATATTAACATCCAGATATATTTATACTTACATCAAAATGGTTTTGTTGTTGTTTTCCCTTAATTACATGAGACTGCAGAGGAAGCATTTGTGCAGTGTTAAATGATGGAGATAGAATTTTTTAACATCTAGATGTATTTGAACTGTCAGAAATAAATTTAGCAGAATAAATTTAGAGGGTGAAAAGGTCTATTTAGGTCGGACAATTTCTTTTTAGCAGGCACAAACTTTAAATGCAATTAAAGTAAAACAGACAAACAAACAAACAAGACAAAGACAACTTTTTTAGGTTTTATGATTGATATTTAATCTTTTATACTCAACTTTTGTTATATGTTTTTACTTTTCCTAGTAGCACTTTTAAATACTTTTGTAAAGTTTGAAATAAATCTAATCTATTAATATAACCACTGTTAAATTGACATAAAATAAAATTATTACCTCCAACTCGGTTTCACATGCACTCGTTGGATTCCCCACAGCAGGGATTATTGTGTACATTTTTTTTTGCTGGCCATGCAATTTAAAGCTTCTAATTTGCAATCTTTCAAGATCTCAGACCTATATGATGGGACCAAGTTGAGGGATTAGATGTAGTTTTTCAGGATATTCTGACTTTGGTTGTGGTTTTTTAGGACCCAAATGCAGAGGTGAGGAGCCAGAAGACCGTGACAGTACCTCCCACATAAGGGTGGATTCCAGATGTCCTAAAATGTCCATACCGACCCCAACACAGTTGAAGGACCTACCTGTGACAGTAGAAAACTCAAGGAGCTCAAGAGGTAATACAATGTTAACTACTTAAATGATGCATGCAGTATATATAGCCCTTCCTCATCAATCACATACTTTTGACGGTTGGCATATGTTGTAAATTTGTATTTCCTCAAACTGTAAAATCCTTGCAACAGACTAAATTATAATAAAACTAAAACGCTTTCTTTAAACCAAATTACAATGTTCCTCTTATATTTGGCTAATTTATGATCGAATATTTAGCAAAATATGTTTCGTTGCATGATTGGGTTTTGCATCTAAAGACTAACGTTTCCCGTATTACGTGCATTGTTGCCAGGTTGGGATGTTTCCCAACTGGCATTTTAGGATGGCCGTCTATGGGTAAAAAATGTTTTTCTTTAGATTTATGGCCTAAGAGATCAATAGACTTTGGTTCAGAGCTTGCTCAATGGACTCTGGATGGCACATAGCATGCTCACAAAGAGGTTCTGTCTGAGGAGGAGTGCTAAGTGGATCTAACTGAGGAGTGGGGATGCTAATAGGTTCTACCTGGGAAGTGGGGATGCAAATAGGTTCAGATGGTGGAGCTAGGACAATGAGTGGAGCTGTCTGAGTGGCTAGGACACTGGGGGAAGCTAACTGAGGAAAAGGGAGGACTGTTTCTCTAATGGGTTCTGGCACGGGGACTGGCCCACTAATGAGCTCTGGCCTGCTAATGGGCTCTGGCTCGGGACCTGCTGGCTGGCAGGGAGCTGATGGAGGTGGCAGGAAACGGAAAAGGTCTTCCCTTTCCCCATAAAAGAAGTCCCGGAAATAAGACTCCTCGAGACGAGGAACTCTGACTGCAGGGGGTGTGATACTTGTACCTGGCTTGGGTTTTCTTATTCGTAAGGCTAGCTGTTGATCATGGAGGTGACCACTGAGCACACTGGGAAAACTGACCTGGTTGGGAGTAGCCATAAGGCTAGCAACTGGCTGACCCATGGGAGTGACGGCGTCAGGCTGACCCACCATAGGGGAAGTGGAGGCGTCAGGCTGACCCACCGTGGTAGAAGTGGAGACATCAGGCTAACCCACCACATGGGAACTGGAGGTGTCAGGCTGACCAGCCGGAGAGGAAGTGGAGGCATCAGACTGACCCACCACAAGCGAAGTGGAGGCGTCAGGCTGACCTACCGCAGGGGAATGGAGACATCAGGCTGGCCCACCGCAAGGGAAGTTGAGGTGTAAGGCTGACCAGCCGGAGAGGAAGTGGAGGCATCAGGCTTTAACAGACTATTGCATGTTTTTATAACAGAAATGTCTATATTTTAATTTTCCCGATAATTACCTGCATAAGCATTGCCCTGTGTCTGGGGATGGTATCCACTACCTGCACACACTGCTGGGTCCAAAAGTCCACGGCCTCAAACAATCTGAAGAACTGGAGAATCTGAAAAACCTCTATTTGCCGCATCATCAGAAGTGTGCATCTGTCATCAAAAGGATATACGCACACCTTCCCAACCCCCCCCTGAATCAAAAGAACAATCAATTGCATCAAAGAAGGAGTTGACAACAATCAATATAATATTATATCAGACTGCACATTACAAAAATAAACGTTAACAGGTGGAGTACTTTTGTTAATTTTTTTCATACAGGATTCCCTAAACTTATTGCTGCAGTGGACAGCACACACATTGAGATATAATGACCCTCTGGAGCACATGAAGGGGATTTTGAATGTTGTTACAAAAAAAATAAAATATATCTACTATATTTGATCCCAGGACACCCACATTAAACCACTTCACCACATAGAGACTGAATATTGGGATAATCAATATAAATATACAAACTTCACATGTTGCCATATTTGCTTTCACTGTTGATCTATAGTTGTTCATTTGTAAAAAAAAATAACTTTTAGCTATGACATTTCAATAAAGAGAACTGGTTAGGGAATGTGTATTTAAGGCTGTTCATCCATGTAGTTGATCCAGTATATTTTTCGGAATCATTTTATCTGTGATCGACCTCATGGGGTCTTGAAAAAAACTACAGGCTTGCATTTAGCTTTGTTACTAAAGTCTGGTTTATGCGCAGAAACCAGGTCACCTGTTGCAGTTAACGAAGATACCCCCCCCAAACACACACACACAATGTAGGTAACCGCAGATAGCGTTGCAGGGAGGATAGAAAGGAAGCCTCTGACTGGTCAATTCTACATCTGCCCTAAACCATGTGTATTTCCTGTTTGTTACCTTACCGGCTTGTTTTGTTTGGATGTCCGCCATTGAGGAAAACGACTTGTGAAGATGGACCAGCTAGAAGAGCGAGTCTGGGAAGAAGTGAGGAAGTACCCACATCTGTACGACTCTTGTTCTGCACACCACAAGGACAGCACATATTCAAGAATGTTGATGAATGACCGTATCCAGAAGAGAAACAGGTCACCCACAATCCTAGTTAGTTTGTGATTGTCCCTCCTGCGTTGTGGCTTGGAATAACATAGCCCAAACCACGCTTCAAAATTGGGGATCTATCAAAAATATCTGCATCATACCTGTGACAAGCTACCAGCAGGATTATACACAGCCCTTGACACCTTGCTGGACATAGCCTCACCTATAAAATTAATATATAAATTAAACATATAGATGTAACATATGGATTTAGATATGATAATTATATACAAATTTGATATTCATACTTAGAGATTTGCCCTTACATATCAGAAAAAAAGCAATTAATGTAAGAAAGGGTAAAAAAAAATAACAGAAATATCACAGTTAAACATTTTTGTTAAATTTTTACATTCGGCACTCAGTAATGCTGTAAACAAAGCTCCCCCCAATCATACAGGAATGTTAGTGATAAAAAATAGCCAAAATTGAAAAATCTATAGGGGTGTGAATACTTTTGCAAATTACAGCATGTTCTATGTTTTCAAAAATAATGCTGGATTAAGCAAATTAATATGTGTAAGATCTATGTGTATAAATAATTTTGGAGGCCTACTGCACAAGCCATAGCTGCAAAGAGTCTCTGACTTCAATAAGATGTTTTTTTGGGTGGAGGCACATCATTTCAGGTAGGCCTAGTTGCACCCATTCCCCTTAGGCACTGCGCTTGTTCTTTACTGGGAGGAGGGCACAGTAAATGGTTCCAGAGCAAATAAAAGCTTTCAAGTCTCACGCCTTGAGGATGTAGCCTTAGGGCCAATAGGAAGATTGGAAACATATGAAAGAAAATAAGTAAGGTGGGGCTCATAGTCACTCTTATGAAACCCAGGAGAAAAGAAATTTTCTTTAAAATAAGTAACTCTTCACTAGCTGCCTTTTGTAGGTATAATCTATCTAGCATGTTGGCATGGCCTGAGAGGATAAATGCACGATTCATGTGGTGAGGTTCATTTAAGAGTGGGACGGCAGTGCCTCCGAAGCCCTCAAGGTCTTGTCTTGTTTGTTGATTGTGAGAAACAAATGGTCAGAGAGCCTGTTAGTTGGGTTAAGGTTGAATGAATGAAAGTCTGTGTGTGTATATATGTGCTTGTATTTAGTCATGTGCATGTGGCACCACCCCAACCCTGGGATATTTCTCTGGGGGTTTGTGCCAACCCTATGCCTCGGAGGTGAGAGGGCGGGTGATAATTAAACACCGCAGAGCTTTTACACAAATGTACTAAAAGGAAGAATCAAATATCCTGGTAATGAGATTTTCCTCTTCAGGCGGAGCTCTCGGTTATTATTATTTTAAATGTTCTTAATCTAATAAGTTGCTAAAAGTTTTCAAGATGTAATTGTAACGATTATACTTCAGGAGTTCTACTTTTTTAGCTGCTTAATGCCTTCACAATGATCTGCTATTATGAGCACAAGTCCTCTTTCTAAAGTGTAGGGCCTATACATTTTAATTCAGGCTTTAATAAAACTCTGGGAATCAAAGAACAACTCTGATCTCATACCAAGGTGAACATCTCAGCAATTTGGTTTGTTTACCTCACAAGATGGCTTCTGGCTTTGGGAATGAACCATGAAAATGGCTGCTCTTGTGCCTGCAGCCCTCTATATAAATTGGAGTTTTTCATGTGGCAGTTAGGTTGCTGCGATACACACCTCAGGGGATGTGCTCTCATTAAGGGCGGTAGCTCTGGGCAAATTTTCTTTGCTTCCTGTGGCCACTGACCTCCTTTTCACCCATAGGCTTGCAGCTAAACCGCAGCCGTGCTTTTTGGTCTCTCTCTGTCACTCCCAACTATGCCTGGGGGTTTTGTCACATGACTCGGGTGACTCCTGACCTGCTTGGCCTCTTGCAACCCCTCCTTCGCTGTCAACGAGTCAGTTAGAATGATCACAAAGCAGCATTAAGGGTCACATGTGCCCCCCTAAAATGGCGGCTGTGGCCTTGGGCTTTCGAGGGAAGAATTTTCCAAGTTGACAATGTCAAAACATCATGTCAAAAATGGCCAACTTTATGTGTCATCTTAAAGCAGTACAGCTGCAATATTATTCAAGTGGAAAAAAGTTTGGGCTCTACATTGAAAACTAAGCAAGCCATCCATCATTAGAAGTGATGGAGGTTACTAAGGATATCAGTGTTTGAAAGCGTCTGTATTTGCAGAGTTAAGGCAAATGTGTTGTGCTGCTTGATTGGAGACAAGCAGAAAGATCGCATTGCTTTGTCATTGTCCCCTATTGAGCCATTACTGCAGACATTCACTGTCTGTATGGGTTTATATTGGCTAAGAAACAAACTGGAATTTTGTCTAACGCCTAAAGGTGATCAGGACTAAGGTAGTTAATCACATTTCAAAAGGTAAATAAAGAAGTGAAAAGACAAACATCAATGAAAAAGCCCTTGATCTTATTATTACTATTTTTTTTTTTTATTGGAATCCTTAAAGCCTGGTTGAAGCCTAATGCAACTGACTGGAAACTTTAAACCAGACCACTGTTTTTCCACATTTTGCTCCTAGGAGAT